GTTAGAGTCGGTCACGTGTGGCAGTTGCATTACGTTATTTTAGCTGAGCTGCATTTAAATTGTTTATATACTGCTGCTTATCAATTACTAACACATAGTATTACGCTCTTGTACTCGAAGAATGATATTTTGCTACTTGCTTACATTTGTCACACGTGACGATGCTCAGCTCACCATGTATTTCCGTTATTTTATTTATTTTGTTGGCGTATTTCGGGTAGTTTTTGTTGTGAATTGGAATAGACAGAGAAACTATGCTAAAATACAAATATTAATAATGACGTGTGCGTTTTTTTACATGACTTGAAGTTTCTTTTGTAAATTGCATTCTTTAAACTTGAGCTTTTTTCTAAATAATACGTGTAAAACTTGAAAAATGCATAAAGTTTTTTAAAGCCTCACTCTTGATCCCCTTTCCCTTCTCCTTATGAGATTGTTCTCTCTGTCTACGCTTTTTCCGTGTGATTACAAGTATGGATTGCATTAGTTGTCATTACTTCTGTACCTATTGTGTGTTTTATATTTTATCATAGATTGTCATCTTTATAATTGTTTTTGAATTTCTCATTTAAAGAAACAAAAGTTATGTCTTCCTGAGCTCGAATCATTGTGATATGTTGATTTTATATTTGGATAAAACTGCTTGTTTTCACTTTTAGCACCTTGCACTGACATGCGATATTAATATTTATTACGAAGGCTTCAACGTTTGCAAACTGCATTTAGTGCTAAGCTAAGCAAATGGCTAATTCTCTTTTGACCTGTGTTGTTTAGATGTTAAGTTCTTAGGATTGCTTTTTGTATGTGTGGTAGTTTCGCTGCATTTATCGATGTCTAATTAGTACGACAAAATTGTCCAGGTAATTAAAATTATCTGCTTTTTTGTCTGATTTCAAATTAAAATTTGTTTAGGAAATAAGCGGATGTGAATACACAAGTAGCATTATGAAGCTAGTAATTAAAATTCAATTGTGTGAGCAATATTCGGTGATGTTTCGCGTAAAATTTGTCTTGTATACATATTTGATAAAATATACTAGAGTAGAAGAAAAAAGTTAAGTTTACGTAATTAGTTGATTCGGAGTGACGTAAGAAGTTATTGTTGCAAAGTATGAAACTTACTTACTTAAGAGAACATAAATAGGAAATTATGTTTGCACTGAAATGGCTTTCTACCTTTAACAAGCTACTGTATGTGTAAAGAAGTTTATTTTTATATGTCTACTTATTTCCATTTTTGAGCAGTAAAATCGATGGTAGCAAGCTTAATTGTATAGAATACTTAGCACTTATTGAGGTTTGCAAATATAGGAAAGAAGTGGAAAAGCATTAAATGTAGGATTTGTTAACAAAATTTTAATTACATGGACTGTTTCCTTGGCAACTAATGTTAAACTGATCTGATATCAATTTGATAGTTATGACAGTGGTGATAATATCTGTCAAATAATAATACTATTAATCATAATAACAGTATAAACAATATCATTAATGATAGTAATAATGATGATATTAATAGCTACCATTATGATGATGATAAATAACAGTGATTAGTATTCACAATAATAAGAACTCTTAGAAAGAAAAGCACAGTGTTCAGAACTTTAGATATCTCAAAATTAGCTACCTTTTCTTATTTTCTCACAAATTTATTTGCTTGGAAAGTACTTACTTACTTATTGCTGCATTTACTACTCACTCTCTGTTATTAAAATTTATTTATTTATTAAGCTCTGTCCATTTTCAACACAACATTAACGCTAGTAAATGCTATAATTATTTGATGATTACTTCTGAAATATAATTACTCTCTAAGTAAGTTTTGCTTTTTGGCGTGAATAATTTTGTTGGATTCAAAATGTAACAACAATATCATTGCATCTCTATGTCACTACTATAATGCATCTCTATATTTACACTGAACTTATTTAATCTTACTTTATTCAGTGTGAGACAAAATCATTACGTTTACGTCTTTCTTTCAAGTTCTTCAATAATTTGCTGCAATGCAATCGAAAATTCTGCGCATTACATAATTAGCTTTATTTTCCTATAAAAACTATTTTTATTAAATTATGCAACTGCTGTAAAACTAACAAGCGGTCAAGTAATAAAGTTGAAAATGATTGAAAAAAATTTACTTAGTAAGGAGAAATTATTGTTGGCATATGACAACTTTAGTATGGAAGTAATGAATTCAAATTCATAGCTGTAGCCTTTAAATTAAAAGAATGTGGTAAGTCTGAAATTTAGCATTTGAATTGGTATGAAATTAATATCACAAATTGTATTATTAATTGATAAGGTCAAATTATTGCACAAATATATATAAAATATTTATTTGAATTCACAACAAATTCATTAATAACAAACTTTTTAAGCAGAAAGCTCTAATTCATATTTTCAACCTTTTGGTCACACAGCTCCAAATTCTTGCAATTCTTTATTTTTTAAATAAAATGTTCTTAAATACTCTTTGTTATTTTTTAGAATAAAAATTGCAGAAATAAGTAAATAACGATGCTAATGAGTAAAATACTTTTGAAGTAAAAACCAATTCTCTCATTTAAAAAAAATTGCAAAGCAAAACAAAATATGACTGAAAGTATGCTATTTGTAACTTAATATTTCAACTCAGACTATGATTTGAATATGATGAGTACGTGAATGACATTACAGTAATAAAAATATGTTTCTGACAAAAAGTTTCATCAAATGAATATTTTTACTAATTTGTATGCAAGTATTTGTCGATTGTGAATCGGTTTGGATTGAATATAACTGCTTAAAAAAGTAAGCTGATCATACGAACAAAGTATTAAGACAAATATTCACCATTGTATAAACATACGAAGCTAAACATTTCCAGCTTATTCTTCTGCAAGATTTTATGCTTTCTATGAAAATTCATTTAACTGAGTAAAAATGATAAAAATTAATAGAATTATTAGCAAAACTTGCTGTCAGTTAAACTTTGAGTAATTTTTTTCAACACTTTTTAGCTAATTTTTTGACTAAAACAAGAATAAACAAACTTGAACTTCATATGAATTATTTCGCGAATCATTAGTGGCCAGTAATAATCAAACTGACCATTCTCGTACGAGCATAAAATACATAACAAAAGTTAAAAATCAAAAACAATTAATTTACAATAATAAAGTATGTGGAGTAAATATCCATCCATTTTATTCTCAGTTTCTGAAAAAGAAATTTTGTGCGGTTATCTATTAATTACAGTGCTGTTTGAATAAATATTTATTGCAGGAAGAACAAAAGTCCACTACTGTGTTGCATATAAATAGCAACAAAATTGGTAAAGTAAAAAAGAGAAAGTGGTTTTTTCGGTGTAATTTATAATTCGTTCAACTTCATTTTGCATAATCTTTCATTGCGATTCGAAACGAGTAGAAGAATAGTTAGTTGTTCCAGGTGGAAGACTTGCGATTTTGTTGTTTATTTCTATTCAGCAACAGCAAATCCAAGCTTTCCACCCGGAGGAATCCTCATTAATGAATGCTGCAACCCACTCTTGATATGATCATAAAACGGAATACTATCATGCTGAATAATGAATTGTAAAAAGATAAAGCTAGCATACCCCGATAAGTCAGCTGTGATTTGCATTATATATATAGAACCCCATGACAGTGCTTTTTTCCTTGACAATAAACGGAATTATACTTAAAAGCAACGATCAGTTTTTAGGGTCTTCGTGGTGGTTTACATCGGAGACTTCAAATTAATATTGAAGTTGGCAGTAAAAATCGGTTTTTGGACGGAATTATACTGATCAAAAGACAAATACTAGCTGATAAATCAGTACATAGCTGGAGTATTACAAAGAAGTAATAATAGTTTGCCAGAAATTGCGATCTATATCGCTACTTCTACCAATAAAATTCCTTCGATACTTGGTCAATAAACCTTTTCTTCAGTCTTAATCTAATGCAGATCACACAAAGAATTAGCAACTTTTCCAATCTTTACATCATCTTTATATCAACTTGTGACTTTTCACCACTTATGCTCATCTGCTTATTGCTGATATATGAAAATTACATGAAGGATATATCAATCTGCCTTCTGCTTATACAAACGACACCATATAAGCATGAAAGCATAGTTAAAATGCAATTCTACAGTTCACTTATTAATAACCAACCAAATTACAATCGACCACTTTATCAAATCTACTATTTCCAGCATTCTTTTTTATTGTCATATCATACTTTAAAGAAAAAGGTACACAACTAATTCAGTAATAAATTAAATGCTGAATATATGTAAATCTTCAAAATTTCTTTTCATTAAGAATCTGGGTTTGATTTTTTATCTTATTCGCAATCAAAAATAAATCTTACTACTACTGACATGCAAACTTCTTTACATCAAAAAATGACAAATGTAGCGCAGAACATCTTATCAAGTAGCACTTAGAAGAATGGATATCTATCAAGCAACTTGAACAAAATTTTTCTGACTTACAACTTTCTTTTACATCATAAACTGATAGCTTTGATTCACTTAAATCACTGCTCATTATGTTGTTTTTATTATTTATTTGTTCTATTATAAACGAAATATTTTAATGGTTCTATAACGTATACTTCAGATTATAAAATACAATCCACTATGCATAGCTAGTCTTCAATTTTGAACACACACATGCGGGTCGACAACTAGTAGGACGTCTTCGCCTCGGAGTCACACGTTCAGCAGGAGATGATTCGCTAGTAGAATAATGAACAGTGATTAAATTTTCTAATGTTTCCAGCATTTCCTCCATAAGCTCAATTTGTTGTTGCGTAATGCAGGGTTCACCGTTCGGAAACGTTCGCTCTAATGCTGCGCAACGTCGCATTTCGATCACACAAGCGTTTACACAGCCAATAAATTGTGATGCATGCCGTGTAAATTCCACGCCTAAATTGAAAACAAATTAAGTAGGAATAATGTCACACAGTGATCGCAAATTGTGTAGAGTCTAATACGTCAGTTCAAATTAATCATTTAAAATCTGAATCTTCTGTAGCTAATGAAAGAATATTGCTCAACGAAAATAAAACATTCAAAGGGACTTAAAAAAGTGGCGATGATTTGAATTGATTTACAAACAAGATACTTCACCGCTTTGCTTATCTAGTTACAACCTGGGTCGATTTAAAACTGAAACACCTGGGGAAGAACAAACAAATGAATGGTCGTTTCTAGCAAAGTAATAAAACGCTTTAAAAATAAAAAGGACTTCCAAAATATTAAAAAAAAAATCAACAATTCAACAGTAACAGAAATGAACAAGGACGAGCTTCTATAGATCAAAAAGCTTACTTTCATGACGAAGTTGGGGCATAATACAACTTTTAGCTGCTTCACACGATCGAATGCAAGCTCGTCCTAATGAATCAACATCTTTTCTAAGCTGTTGGCCATCTTGTCCTGTACCAATACATTGCACCAGATTCCGAAACTGTGCCAGCTGAACATTAGAATCATGCACCAGCTTAAAACATGTCAATCCATTATGGACATACTACCAAACCAGCAAGTTTCTCCATCGCAAAAGTATAACTATAAAATTAATAATGAAATAAATATGACATGTATTCATATAAAATGCATGTGACGGAAGTGAACGCATTTGCTTGCTAATATTTTTAATTTGATTTCCAAATGAATAAATATTTGTAAGAATGATGTACTCATACTAATGAACAAATAGCTTAATTTCAAATTCATCAAACATATAACAGAAGTGATAAATAGTTGCATACTACTTCCAAATGTATAGTAATTTATAGATTAGTAAATCCATCAATCCTCCATTACTAAAACCTCAAGTGTGCATTCTCTAACATAGCTTATACTAGACAAATATTATCGTATTCTTGTCAAAAAAAAAACAAATATTATTGATTGATTGATAAAAATAACAAACTTCTTGAAGTTTTCTCACATTTGAAAGCGAATGCTGACGCAATTTGCTAGCCATCCAATATGCTTGCAGCGAAGCGAACAATGCCAATAACTATTTATTTACTGGACAACGACAACGCTGCAATCATACAGCATCGGCAGCAGCAGCACTAACTCTATCGATTGAGAAGCAATAAGTCTTGCATTGGAACAGAGCAAGCAACCACATCCACCATATTACTAATACTTATTATAGTATTTAATCCTAAACATTCTCTTCATGACTGAAAGGAAACTGAAATATAGCGCACACACTTTTAGGTAACAGTGGAAATCATTTCTAATTTAGCCCTCCAGTTATATCTCCTATTTCTTCAGACTGAACACATTCACTACTACTACTCATGATCATCCCTCTGTAAAAGTGTAAAGTAGTAAGACCTTTTCTAATCGTTGTTAAGAGAACAAGAATCATTGCTGTAAACAAGCAAACTAACAAACTTCAGAAGAACTAGAAAACAATATGTTAAAAGTTAATCCAAATAGTGTGTAAATCACAATATCACTTTTACTTCCGCACTCAAAAATTAGCATTCATTTTTACTGCATCATAGTCACATAACTACTAACAATCATATCATACCTACCAAGATTCACTTAATCTGAAACTTGGTACACTAACAATATAAAAGGATGGCAATTATTGATTTATAAGGAGAGTGTACAAATTATCAGAAACTGAAGATTTTTTGCTTTGGTTTGCATTTGTTATTTACATGAACGAATAGAATAAAAGTCATGAACAGAAAAGTTGATTATCAACAGTCTGATGAAAATCCTTTAACCATTGCATAGAAACTGCACATATGTTTAAAGGTTAAAATTTAGGAAGTGCATTTGAGTGACAAATACACGGCAAACAATACGTGAAATAATAAAGGTATTGAAACATACTACTTCTTATAATCGAATCAGTTATACAATCAAAATAAAGTTTAGACAAAGTTGTTTTGCGTAAAGAAAAAAATATTCTAACAACTTCTAATAATAAAATTCTTTAAAAACTGGTAAAACTACAGTACAAAATATTAAGTATGTTGGATAATGACACAAAATGAAAGTAATCAAGTACATAAACATTTTCTTTTGCAGATTTGTCATGGAAAATTAAAATCAGTGCAGCTCTGTAAGTTGAGAAATTAATGGATGAAAAAACTTTGGGAGATTTCAGTAGTACATATGTGTACTTAAAGAAATCATTAGATAAATGGCACACTATTAGGTGAAAGAAGAATTTACAAATCTTTGAGCCAAAATATTTTTCGCCATTTCTATTCCAAGACTCCTCAACGAGCAAATGCAATACATTACTTTAAAAAGCAATAGAATGATTGATCAGGATTAAGAATTGAACTCCTCCTTACCAATCACCACGAATGTTTCAAAAACGAATTTTACCACGTTTCATCATCGAGATAATCGAAGAACACAGGTTGTCGAACCTCATCAGGAATTTCTGAAGGCAGTTCAAAATAGGGTCCCCACAAGCGTGGAACCAGTGGTTTATTAAACTTTAAGGATTTTTGTTTGAGACTTTTTTCCCACTCATCAGCCTAAAATTATAATTGCACTTAAATATAAAATGACACCATTTTGTTCAACATTTTATGGTCACTATAATCTCTTGCTCTTTTTAACTCATAACTAGAAACTCGAAATTCTTAATTTACAAATCGCTACCAAAACTCAAAACCAATAATTATACACTCAAGCTGACTTATTATTCAGTAACGTATCGAGTACTTCTGAAAGCTTCAAGATTGAAACACTGTACAAGAAATGTGAAAATCGAAAATTCTTACTAGAAATATCACACTCATTAAACTCAGAAATAACAGCAAGACAAAATACTATTGTATAGATAAGCAATATTAATGTTCAGCTACATTACTGGTTACATAAGAAGTCATGTAAAAACATCAACACACGATCGTAATCAAGAGAAATGACAATTACGATCTTATGACACAACTGCGATTTCAGTTAAATATGACAGATTTTCTTAATACAAGATACAAATTCTGCAAACAAAGCTTGATTTCATTCTTGATACTTGAGAATTATTTTCAGGAATCAAGAAAAACAGAGGAGCTTATGTTGCTATTTATTCATAAACAAAATAAGGTTTCATTTCATTGAATGCAAGTAATAAAAGAGTGCATGAAATAGTTTCCTCTTAATGATTTAATGGACTTACGACAGCTTTCAAACGTTCTGCACGGACTTTAGAATCCTCATGATGTAAGTCACAATCTTGATCATCTTCACCCTCACCTTCGGATAAATATCCATGTTGTACAATAAATCCATCATCCTCAGAAGAATCATCAGAATCCTAAAAATATTGACCTATTAAATATTTGAAATGTATCAGATGATGAATAAAAAAATGCATAAATATAAATAAAAGATGCATACAAAAAGAAACTTTCCACAAACAATAAAAACTTTTAAAATTATAGCTATTCAGGACTTTTAAAAAAATAAAAAAGTATTCTATCAAAGTATTATTTTCTTCCATTTTCGTAGTTCTGAATAACTATTTATAAGTACTATAAGCACCTCCACTTCAAATCAAAAAATAAAAGACTGTAAAAACACCTCTTCATTTTCACTTTCTAGACTTTCGTCACAATCGTCACCTTCAGGTACCTCCCATTCTTCATCAGAATCCACTTCGTAATCGAAAAACTGCAATCAATGCAGCAATGAACATGATTCCGAAAATTTTCTGCCATTTCTATAAACGACACAAGCTACATTTCAAAAAGCAAATCAGAAACTGAATTTGACTTTATACCATTGTATCCTTTGCAAAGGGCCTTCTGCCTGTGATGAAATGACTTTGTTTCCTCCATGTACCATAATAAGCAGGCCTCCAATTATCATGGAATTGGAATAATTTGCTTTTCTTCAAATTTCTGAAAAGTTGGCAATGTTTTTACTATTAACAGATTCATCTAGAAAATCTCCACAATGAATACTTTTATCTTGAAAAACTTTGCTACTTTTGCAAACAATACAAATCTATTTTACAAACTAAATTATAAACTAGTTCTAATTTTAAGTTTAATAACATTTATCTTTTGAAAATGGCTTTCTGCCTGAGACAGCATGACTTTATTGCAGTCAAGATATTTACATCTGTAGAACTTAAAAAAATTGAATATATAATTCATGAACTTCAAAGCAATGCACAATAAATTGACCTCTCATTTCAAGGATAATCATTTAGGAGATATTAAATAACACAAATGGTTTATTAATATGAATTATATATTCTTGATACTGGATCATTCAGATAAATCAATTGATAGAGTGGCAACTTTAGCGACATGATGTACTTTATCAGCACCCGCAAAAAGCTTTTATTTAAAATGCTTTCAAAAAAATATGGAAGCTTTTGATAGCGGTGACATAGCAACAATTATATATTTAAAAACTAAATATCTAAACGTAAGATTCACCTTTTTTGAGCTGGATGACGCCTCAATGTTGAAAGATAAGAAACCTTCTGAAATTTCAAGGAATTATTTAATGTAAATGAAATATATAACCCTTAAATTACATTAATAGCTATGTTTACAGTAAAAGAATTAGTAGCTCAGAAAACAACCACAATTACAGAGTAAAGCATACGGGCGGTGGTATTTGCAACAAATTATCATGAACATCCGCTGACAATGGATCACGACGTATGTGAGGTGCAAGTGACACTCCATTCTTGCAGAAAAATGGTAAAACGTTCAGCACGGTTGAATTTTGCTCAGTTTCTTTTTTTTCCGATTTCACTGTCCTATCAAAAAATGCAAGAAAACGATCGGACTCACGCTTTTTTCTTAATTCTACTGCCTGAAAGAACATTAATTACTAATACATTTACTGCGAATAATAATAATTTTGAAATGAAATTTAACGAACATCTTCTTCCCTCCTTTTTTGTTCAAGTCGTTCTTCTTCTTCCTTCCGCTTTTTTTCACGTTCTTTTTCTTCCTGTTCCTTTCTAAATTTTTTTGCTTCCTCTTCTATTCGTCGTTTCTCCTTTTTCTCTTCTTCTGCTAGTCTCTTCTGCTCCTTTTTGAGCTCTTCTTCTTTCCGTTTCTGTTCTTTAGCTTCCTCACGTTTTTTTCTTAACACTTCTTTCAATCTGCAATCTTTATTTACATACTTAATAATATCTTGAAGTTGTTAAAAGTCTTTATGTATCATGGATATTTTTACAGACAAGGATGAAAACTTTAGTGAGAAAACTGGACTTTTTTTACGAAAAATTTCTGTACTTTTGTGCTTCTGCTTTTTTTCGCCTTTTTTCTTCTATGGCAGCTTCACGTTGTTCCTGGAAAGTAACGTGAATCTTGGAGGTAAAAAGCAAAAAGGACAATCTTGAAAATTTTGAGTACATTAATAGAATTGACTGGAAACTCGAAATTGACTTTAAATGTATTCGCACAAATTGCACAAGCAATTAGAATAGTTTAGAAAGTGATAAGGCATCAAAACGTGCACCTGAAGTGCGATTCTGATGTTAAATACATCGTAAAATTTTGAGTGAATTAACTTTTTGTCTCATGTTTAATACGAAATAAAACCTACCATCTTCATACGTTTCCGCTCGTTCCTTTTCTGTTCAAGAGCAGCTAACTCTTCCGTTGTACGTCTTCGGCGATGAGAAACAACTTGACTTCCACACTCACCAGTGACTATTTCCTTGCACATATCGTCAACAGACATGCTATCATTTCGCACTTCCTGACTCTGAAATATTTGTCTGCTGAAAAATTTTACATTTTAAGAAGTTATTCATTTCAGAAACAACTCATGTCTACAACAAGCTTTCACAAATGTAAAATTGAACTTTATTTTTGCCAATTTTTATTTTTCGTAAATTTTCAATATTTAGTCTTGTACCGATGAATGGTCATGGCGCTTCTTCCGTTTACGATAAGTTCTCTTTTGATCAAGCTGAAAATTGTCGCAATGGAGCAAGTAACTGGATGAATACTATATAATCATTTATATCTATAAATCTAGAATCTTCTAAAATCTAAAAACACAACATGAAATGAACTGAAACTAAATAGCTTTGATTCTATCCAAATCACGGTTTTTCATTTTTGTAATCCTTGTATTATGACGAATATAATAAGAGAATAAAAGAATTAATAATTGCGATGACTAGATTTCTGTACATTATTTGTAACCTATAACTTTTGGCAAATATCAATTTAAATAAATTTTGAAACTCTAGATCTACCATGAAGTTAAGAACTAACAGTATAAGCAACAGCTTCTATTACTTCTCGAACAAAGTCTTCAACTTCACTACAGTTACAGTTCGCATGATCCTGGGTACTATGGCCAATACTTGGCTCCAGCACGCATGCATTCATCTCGGAAGTGCAATTATCTTCTGCCCCTTCGCCTGCTACCATTTTGAAAATATCAATTAAAAAAATGCGAGTAATAATAAATTAACCAGCAGTCGCTGGCATTATTGACGACAGAAAAGTAAGGATATTCAATTAGCAATAACTCTCAATAAGCAAAAACTATCAAATGTATTTGACACGCAGTAAGAAATAGCTCAAGAAGTGATACAATCAAGAGGGGGACAAAATTACAGACTGTTATTATTGATCCCACGTACCATACTTAGTATCCAAATAATGCATAATAACATTGTGCATAATGCTGCACTTTATAACTTGTTCCTAAAAGTTACACGAACAAATGCGTGAGTCTACCTGAAATAACCATGGTATAAACTATCAAATACATAGTGACATTATTCAAAACAAAAAACATAACAACAGTGAAGGAATGCTGAAAATATCCAAATTACCTTACATGAGCTTATACTGAGGACACAAGAATTGCATTACAGTGAAATTCAAATTTCAAGCAACCCGCACAATGATTTTAGATTTAGAAGACGTTATGAAAATGTAAATCTCATACTGAAAAAAGCGTAGCTCATGTTGTATTGCATCATCAAATCATTTCTTTTTTCACTCTGCATATTAGAATCATGGCACATTTACATTCAAACTTCAGTCGAACTGCATAATGATTGATTTGAATTTGCAATATGATGCATTTCTTTCGCTTCACTTCAATTTCAATAAAACGTAAGCAAAAAATTAAAATTCAATGAACACAAAAATTTTTTGAAAAAAAACTAGGCATTGCAGATAAAATCACTTATCGAAAATTACAATCTGTTATTTTTTCATACATAAAAGGAATTACAAAATTTGAACAAAAAAATTAATGGAATTGTAAATATGTGTTTACGAACTTGTAGTACAATTGTTCCGTAAACAATGAGGTATTCTAAGTATTTAGCATACGTGAACCAGCAGCACAGAATATTTTTACAATGTCTTTTATTCAAAAAGAATTGTTATTTTTCCAGAATACATATTTGTAAATTTTTCATAAATTACAGTAGAATAATTTTATGAAATAGTCAAAGATATAATGGAATCAAACTTATTTTTGACGTTAATGAATATTTTTTACAAAAAAGTTATATTCTACTGTAACTATTATATATTCAATCCATCATTTTCGATTATTGTGCTCTTTATATTTTAGCAAAGCTATGCTCATACCATATCTTTATTTGAAGCAGTTTATTTAGTGTTTAAAATGCTTATACATTAATCCATGGTATTTTTGTGTCATTTTTGTTGTGTGTAGAAAGAAGCATAGATGCATGTTGGTATGTTTAGAGCAGAAGAAGATAGTAATTAGAAATGTTACAGATATTAATTAATCACTTCTAACTTAATACTTTACTTATTCGATAATAATAATAATCCACTGACTTAATTAAAATATAACAAGCAGGTGAACTGAGCAAACCTCTTCCTCTTGCCTAAAATTTATTTCGTATTTTGGTATTCGAGTAATGAATAAATAGCATTGTTATTGTAGTGTGTGACTGCGATGAATGATCAGAGAAGCATTTTTGTGTTCTTTTCTTAAAAAGGTTGCAAATTTATGAAAATATTTTACGGTTCTGAAAGGCTAAAAATGCTTCAAAAATTTCATTTCTCTATCGAGAAAATGAATGACAAGTATTGTTCTTACAGCTGCACTTTTTTCTTCTTTTTCAAAACTATTTTTGTACAGAAAAGAACATAACTGTTAATGACTGTAATTTGAAGAAATTATTGCTTCTATATTGATTATTTATCACTGTTTTGTACTGATTAGCAACTAATTATATAAATTTGCTTGACCAGATCATATCAGATCAGATCAGATCTCACGTTAGTGTTGCGAAAGGAAGTGAAAAAAGAAATAAAATGTATGAGATGAATCATTTTACATCTGACAAATTGCAAAAAATCATGATTTTGAAATGTGTTTCGCAGTTGTTGGGAGGAGAATGATTGATAGCTGAATATACTTAGTTGTCTGCATGAGTCTACGTGTACGACTTTTTATTATTTACTTGGATCATTGATAAGTTTATACTTTACTTTCAACTGCTTAATTTTTTTTCTTAATTTCGTTTCATTTGTAAAATGTCTTTCAACTTTTGAATTGAGCTACCTACATGTCGTCAGTGAATATTTTTACTCTCTCTCATTCTTAATAAAAATGGATTACTTGAATTCTTGTCAGTATGTGTGTAAAAAATTAATGTAAAGAACACAAATAAGTATACAAAAGTGATCGTTTTCTTTTTTGCATTGCTGTACGATTAAGTGAATTAAATAGATCTAACGCATATTCTTTGAATAATGTGCAATTAAGTAGAATGAGTTCAAGTAGAAAGTATGAATGAATGACCTTTAGATAAGATTGAAAATGAAATGGATAGAAAAAGCTCGTTTTTATCTGTTTCTTTTGAAATGAAACTAATTGCAGTAATTGAATGAATAAATGGATGAACTGAAAGCTTGCAGTTTTTGCATTTGTAAAACTAACTCTTCATGGCATTCCTTATTTACTTGCTTACTAACTTACTTTACTTAATTATTCCCTTGTACTCCTATACTTAGCATTTTCGCTAATTCATTTTTTCACTTTAGCTGATATCCTCAATAATTACTTCATTTTAATTGTACAAATAAATGCTTACAAATTATGTACAGTAATGTATAATAATATATTTATATATATTTATTTGCATGTATTTATGTATGCAAATTATGCATGCATTTATGAGCAATACAAGAAAAAATGAGGTAACTGTGACAATATAATTGCACGTATAAATTCTGAGATTGATGCGTGCTTTGCAAGTATGTCTGAAGAATGTGGTGTGTGCTATAAACGCTTAATCTAAATAAAATCCATCTAGCAAAAAGTCCCTCAAACTGATCGCCTTCTCTCTTATCAGCTGCTATCAAATCTGTCTTTTCCTCACAAAACATTTATTCATTTATTCTCCTTCGCTGCACTCAAATTGTTCCACTCTTTCTCCGAAACTTCATTGATAAGAGTTAGGTGTTCGCTCTGTATGTATAACTTTACGTATGTGTATATGTATGTGTGTATGTATGTTTGAGTGTGTACATATGTATGCACACACACGCACACACACAGTATACACTGTATGTGTATTAATCAATAATTAAAGTTGAAAAATTTTTGATATCACTTTGTTTACCAACAACAACTACAAGCTAAAGAAATATAACTTTTGTCACCTGTAAATATCGGATTCTTAACAGTTTTTGTTGTATATGCATATGCTGTGTGCGTGTGTCTGCGTGTAGGTTTGTGTATGAGATGAGTAGGTGTTTATGATAAATGAATGATGTGGTTGTTAGCAAGTAATAGAGCCCTAAGGATAGATCAATTGCTGTGATAAGCTAGATGCCGGCAAAGTTAGTCGTATGCTAAGCATCTTCATCTTATCACAGATATTCTGCCATCTTGGACTTTTGTCTTTTATATACGCCACATGACTTACTGCACTTGCTGCTGATATTATGGCTACTGAATTTTTTATTGCTTTATGATATGATTTATTTTCATTAGTGTTGTATATATATATGTATATGTGTATAATATGTGTATATAAATTTAATCAGTGAGTTTAAATCTGAGAAAATTAGTTTGTCGCTGAAAAATTTTACTTTAAATCACTTTTTGCGTGTATATGTTGGAAAGAATAAAAATTTAGCAGTGCTATAGTAAAGTAAGTAAGTGACACCCAATAATGTCAAATTGCCCACACAGTAGCAGTAGTAGTAGCAACAGCAACAGCTAGGGAAGTAGCGATGTATGTTGTGATGAAAGCAGACATTAATTTGCTGTGCTGGAACGTCTTGAGAGTTCAGATTTGCCATCGAGAATAGGCAAACTGAGGAAGTAGGTAGGCCTCCTCTGAAAGTAAGTCGTTAGCCAGGCAAGCTGAGCAAGGGGAGGTATTAGCTAGGCCTAAAGGCACTGCTACCACTAGGCCAGATCGATGCTTGCTTGCTTACTTGGTTCCTTTCTTCTTTCTCTTGCTAACCTGCCTGCTTGCCTAACTAACTAGCTATCTTGGCTGTAATCATTCAATGTGGCATTATGCATTACTTTGCTGCTAAGCAAATGTATCACTTTCTCAGTAAGTAACAGTTTTGTTTGAATAATTGCATTCGTAAAGCAACGTACCATGACTGATTCAACACGATATATCGCTTCACACCTATCTTTCACCTTATATTTAACGTGTTTCAGGGTCAGTGTTTGTTAGGATTAATTTCAGGTCAGTAAAATTTCGCTTGTGTAAAAATACAGTTATGACTACAAGCTATACTTCAGAAAGCAGTGAAACCGAATTTCACAATTTCTCAATCATTACGTTTTCAAAAATCCCTGCTGATTTACTTATCTCTTGTTCGGCAGAACTTGTAGCTTTTTGTCGTATGCTCAAACTTTAGTGCTTGTTAACCTCTGTAATAGCTATCTATTGACGTACTTCTTCAGTTACTTACGTAATTAACAAGTGAGTAATTTAGTTGCATGTAATCAATCTCAATGACTCTACCGTTATAAAGCCTATTTGTCGGTGTTTCCTTTACGTGTCTCTTCCTTGCGCAGTGGAATGTCCACTTCAAGTGTTCCGTTTGCCACTTCACTAGCCGACAAATTTTTAGTAAATATATCATATTTCTACCACAGAAATACATCTTGTGGGGAGAAATTTAGAATTGGATATTATATCGATAAGTAAAAAACAGTATGTTCTGAAGAAGAATTCTGAAGAAATTTTGGCAGTAATTATTTGCTAAATCGTGATGGATGCGAAAAAAACTAGTATTTTTTTGCTGTTGAAGATAAAATATTGACTGACTGAGCTTTTGAGAATTCGTCGAGCTTTCTTATCCTTCAGTTAATATCATCATCAACTTGCCCTTTGACCATTTGCAATGTTAGCAGCAAAATTTCTTCCATTTTGACTACTTGCAAGAATGACGCATTCATGCGTAGCTAATTACATCTGTTTGCATGAGTGGCGCTTGCTTATCTGATGTAATTATTATGGCTGCTTCTAAGATGCTGTTGGCTTTTTATGTGCATTTCTAGGCTGCAGAATGTCGCTATTTGACGAATTTTGTTCACTGCAAATGGAGAATGCATGTAAAACAAAATATGTAACATATGCATATGCAATGGGTTGCATTCTTTCTATTATAATTATCTACTACAAAAAAATTCTATTGACTTTTATCTTATAAAATTACGAGTTGTAGACGTGTGGCCTGGTTTGGCAATTGAATAAAGCGTGTGGCTTGGTGTGCGATTGAATAAAAATCTTTTTTGTGATATTTGGTAGATACATGTCCTTAATCATTTTGTATTCTTTTGTGTACTCTTATGTAAGCAAAAGTTTTAACATTTTGGTACTTATATAAAATCCATTATTGAAATGATTGCTGGACTTTTATGCACGTTTCTGCAGTGACGTAGGCAACATTGAGCGTAATAACAGCATTTCTATAAAATTTCAAATTCGCAAATTTTTTGCTCATTGATATGTCATTGTAAATTCTAAAGATTGCTCTGTCCTTTTGTATTTTTCAGTTTACTTTCCGATTTACTTGAGTTATTTTTCTAATGGTAAATTACTCTTTAATTCTTCTTCTAGTACAATCTACTAGTTAGCTACTATTATTTTACTATACAAGCTGACATTAATACTATCAACAGTTTTATATAAATCTTGTTTGATGCATTTTTGGAAAACAGTCACAAAGTTGATATAAAGTAACTTACTTTGTTTAAAATTCAATCTCAACAGTGAAAGTAATTTTATTACTTTTGCTATTCGAAGTATAATTAGTTGTTAACGGCTTGTCAAACTGCTTTTATTTATTACACTCTAAAATGTTCAAGTTTCTCATCGAGATATTTTTTGAATCTAAAGTCTTCAATAATTTGAAGTTCATCATTCTTTCACGCTCACTTACTGAGTGCAGCGATTCTGAAGAAATTATTCGGCTTTCAGAAATATGTTATGCAATAAATTACGAATTTTGGTTTCACGTGCAATTTTTGAATTTCGAAGAAAAAACAAATGTAGAGAGTTTGTTTCTGAGGAGAATTCATCCAATCAACCATTTAGTATTACATTTGTAGACTAGAAAAAAAAATTGTAAATATGTATTCCATAAATATACTCGTGACTTGATCATTGCTACGATGATAATGCAGTCGAAATCATATTACTTAAGTTAGTCAAAAACATTTATTAGTAATAAGTAAACATGGAAAAGACAAACTTTTAATTGACATTGTGTTAAACTTTGCGTCATCTTACGTAAATATGACTAAATTTCGAATTCAACGTGTGATTTTCTGTTTTTAATTTGCGGTAGGATTTGAATGATCAGTTACAAGCAAGTATCAATATTTGAGTGCTCTCGAGTTATCTAGTCATTTTTTTATTCATGAACTGATCAAGCAAGCAAATTGCAACAGCCTTGTTCCTGAGTCTTTTCACTCTTTAGGAGATGATTGCGTGAATAATTTGCAGTAGTACTCCATACTCCAAGCATGTTTGTAGATGGAGTGAGTATTCTGCAGGTGTGCTCATACATAAAGCAAACAAATTCTAGCAATCATGCATTCAGTTTCAGCCTACTACTGTCATTATTATCAGTTCATTAACTCCTGAACGAGCATACTTGTCTCCCTCTTTTCTTTCCTTACAATTGAGATATGGATTAATGAGCTTGTTTGCCATACTTGTCATTATAATAAAAAGTATATCTATGCTTGTACTATACTAACTTTTTGCATTATTAACCAATCAAAAAATTATGTATCAAAAATGAATAAAATAGAAGAAAGGCAACAATTATTAATAATGACATTTTATTGTGATAATATGCAAATTTTACATTATTAAATTGTTTGTTTGTGTATTTAAGTGCAATCAGAATTTCTGCTTGCAGACACAAAGTAAACGCTTACCTGTGAGTGGAAGAAGGGGTAGACGAGGGGTATCCGTGCAGCTGTGAAGTATTTTTGTTATTTTAATGATTGACGACTGCTAACAATTACTACTGCTTGCCGTTATTCATTTTAGCTACTATAAAGACAGTAGTACAATAGAACTTTCATCAAACAGCTGCTTGCTTACTTGCTAAAAAATCGCAGTAGTGTGTGTGTTTATTTTTTTGCTATGGGCCGCAAAAAAATTCAAATTACAAGGATACAAGATGAGCGTAATCGACAGGTTTGCTTTCTACTTCAATCATCTTTTGCTTTTTTTATCGTACTTGTGACTTAAATTTATTATTAATTTTATTATTGCAATGTTACCAGGATGGGTATTTTTAGCTTATTATTTTCGGACTGGTCATGAAATCTTCATAAATAAGAAAAATTAATTAACACTGAAATGTTTATATTCATATTTTCAAATTTAGTAAATGCTTTTTTAAGTTGAATAGTTTTGGTTTTTTTTTTCAGGTGACATTTACTAAACGAAAGTTTGGATTGATGAAGAAGGCATATGAATTATCTGTTTTGTGTGATTGTGAAATAGCTCTAATTATTTTCAATTCAACAAATAAATTATTCCAATATGCAAGTACTGATATGGATAAAGTACTACTGAAGTATACAGAATATAATGAACCACATGAAAGTCGAACAAACGCAGATATTGTTGAAGCACTGCAAAGGAAGGAGAATAAATCGGGTGGAGTGGAATCAGATGAAGATTCTCCAGGTTCTTCAACTCCAAATGGTGCAAGTTCAAATAACGGGCCTGCTGTGAGTAGTACTACAACTACTAGCACTTCATCAAGTATGGACTTCAATGGTGTCACTAATAATATTGCACAACAAATTTTCAATTCTAATGTATTCCTTTCACATCCTATTGTATCGTACAGTAACTCAAGAGATGCAACAAATACTTCACTGAATCGGCCACAGCAACAAATAGAACAAGTAAAGGGTCATCAGTTAAGCTTTCCATCAACTAGTTCATTTCTAGATTATACTGATTGCTCTAGTAGTCCACGTTCTGTTGCTGCTTTTACAAGTAGTAGTAGCCGGAATTGTGCTGATAGTCCAATTTCTTCTCATGATCAGCAGCAACAACACATTAATATCAGTCAGGGAACACAGAATGAAGCACAGCTGCAGTTACAACTTCCTCTCTCTGAAACTGTAGCGATAGCAGCAGCTCGAAATCATGCAGTATCATCTGATTTAAATCGAAATTCGGTTGTTGCTACTGGAACAGATATAAGTGAGCTGAATCGTGCATCGAGTCAGGTACAACAACGGCATATTAATGTGGTAGCAGCGACCAGTAGTTCTCCTTGGTTATCAGCTATGCAGCCTAAAGTTTACATCAAAGATGAACCTAGTTCTCCACCTGAGAAAAGAACTCGACTTCAGGATTGGCAAGCACAGTCGATTACATGACATACTTATGATGAATATGTACAATGAGTCACGTTACTTTTGCATTGTTTAAAATTGTTTCCTTGAAAACATCTTGCCCATTACCATCTTAGCTTTTTTTGTTTTTACTTAAACATGCTTATCAGTAATTTATCAATAAATTAAGAGAATTGACTTCCTCTTTTTTATATATACATATGTATATATATTACGTAAAAAAGTGTATACTAATGAGATGTTATCGACTATATCTAACAAAGTTGCGTTTAACTCTCGCGTGTGCGTATGCGTGATTTATTGATGTACACTATATGTAAAATAGCATTAGCCCATCCAAATGACTTAAAAAAAATTGTCTAGCTATTTTGTGTAGTGTCATCCTTCATTTTGTTCAGCAATCATTAAATGGCTTTATTTTCCTTCATATTCCGGTCATTTGAGCGCGTTGGCTGTAAATGTGTTTGTGTATGCGCTCAAGCTACTGTTATGAACATTTAGAACGGGCTATAAGCAACCCTTTCATTTTCCTTTGCTTTAATATCGTAAATTTCTTGAATGTTTCTTCATAAAACATTTTTTTATTTGCAATAATGAGCTTGCAGTTTTACATGCTTCGCCTCAGAAATGCCAAGAACAGAATCAGAAATGTCTTGGAAAAGATAGATATATGGTCATAAAACATTTTGATCTTACTTTTCATCTTAAACATTTATTCACATGGCAACAATTGTGTCCTTATATTTTTCATTTTTTTCACTCAAGATTAACAACGCCCCTCTATGTATTTGTATTTAAACTTGAAATCTCAATCAACCGTTCTGAAATTTTAGAGTACTACATTTTTCATCCTTAACTGCAACTTACTCAAACAAGTGCATAATTTTAACTTTTCAAGAAAAAAGTATTTATTTCTGCATAATAATCATTGTGAGTAATGAATGATGGATGTGTTCAAGTTTACACTGAGAATGTTATTTGCCTATAATTTTCATGCAGAGAGATAATTTAAGAGTTGCTTGTATTGCTGCAAATTAACTTCGCACAAATTTCCGTTTCCTGAAGAAGTTGGGAAATAAAATCAGACAATATGAGAGATGAAATTTTAAGCAACTTATAAAGCGTGTTAAGAATAATACAATATATATACCCAGTTTTCAGTGCTGTATTTAGGATAAGTTGAAAACTGACTAGCTTTAGATTAATCTGAAAATCAAAAGATTAATCAGTAACATTGTAATCAAACGTTCATAACTGATGTTCTTTATTATTGTATGCACATTAACGCGATCCTTCTCATCACTGCAATATTTAATAAATAAAACTCTGGCACTCAAGGATAAATGTATCATTACGTATGCTGACACTTTGTCAATAAAACATAAAAACAACTCGCTTATCAACAGCTCGTATTTACCACTGAATTTTTAATCAAGCAGATAAATAGATGATATGGTTTTTAACTGCCCCTATATATATATATATATATACTCGGCTTTGCTGAGATACTGAACGGTTGACTCTGAACGGCTGCGTTAAAGAAACATAAAAGGGAGGGTGAAAGGAAAAAGTCCTCATCTGGAATCATAAATGAAAACAATGGAAAGACAGATGCAGTTGGAGAAAGCTTGGTGAAGGGTATGAGAGAACATTCTGCCAGTGTAGCGAAACCAGGTGGCAGCAGAATGATCACGATCGAAGCACTCATCTGTGGAGTCGGAATTTCACAGAGCAGGTGACCAGGGGTGCTAAATGGATCCTCGGCCGTTTTGGGTAAATGCCGAGAGGAGGATGACGCTTGTGTCGTTAACTGTACAGCAATAAGTTTTGGTATACAATTCTCCTTTAAGAACTGAAGAAGCAATCAAATTGTATATTGCAAAGGAGTCAACGAGGCGTGTCAAAACACAAGACATTTCGAGCAAAACACGTTACACAAGTCTTATCTAGATGTAAGGGGAAAATATCTGCTGATGATGCAAGAAGCTCAAACATATGAGATAAATTAGACAAATAGGTGCGGAAAATAACATCGGAAATCATTGACTTATATTTAGAGCGGTGAAACAAACGGTAGGTGAATATGTCATCCACAACCTCCCACATCAATGACCGATATTGCAAGGCACAGCAATGCTATAGAGATATGACAAGGTGGGAAAAGAAGCCATCGAGGTGGAAGGCAAGTATAAAAAGAAGATAAGTTTGGATTACTTCCACAAAATCCTCATTGAGCGGGTATATTGCCGGTGAAACACTTCAAAGTCAAAACCTCAGAAAGGCCAAGAAGTGTGTGAGGAAAATGAATTTCATGTTTCTAAGCGTGACTGCCATGAAGCGTTTAGCATAGTGACAGATTATGTGAGGGTTTATGAAAGTTAAATTAAAATTTATGGGACCCGATATGCATTCAAAACCCGAAACTCTAGACTCAAGCTGTTTAAAAAGGCGGTTCTATAGAAATCTGACCAAGAAGAGCCTGTTAACCGCAAGGTAAAGACAGAAGAGATCAGAAAGTTCCGACCCACAATTTGGAATTCAAATATAGGAGAAGATGATGACAATCGGTGGAACAAGTATCTGGAACAATTCGTTCCATACCATGAAGTGCATGATACTTCCCTATCCAAAGCCAAATTTGGGAAAATAGTTTCCTATTTGCCGAAATAGAAGGCGACCAGCTCTGATGGTATCTACAACTTCTTTATTAAGTGCATCTCCTTGCTATGACAGCTTAAATTCATACTTGAGCTACATACGATGAATACATGTTTCCCGCGAATTATGAATAATAATTTGTACAAGAATCAATCACTCATTCATCTTAATTGCTCTACTGAGTGTTCTGATCATCACCACTTGATATGGCATCGAAATAAATCACTTAGTAATCAATTCTTCACATCTAACAAGAATAAAGATTCAATGCTTACTAACGCAGTCACTTTCCACAATTACCTTCAAATTTCCATGTTAGTGTTACAACGACTTCAACTTGTAAGCTACTCCAAATGATAAAATGCTTTAACTGAAACATAAACAGTAACATATCACGTAGAACTCTAATCAATCACCAACGTTAACATTTACTTTTACAAGAAAAAATACTAGGAGTATGAGTTTGAACACTTCGTTTTTATCTCAACACCAATAAACGACTAATGCCATTCAAAAATCTCGTCGAGCTGCTCTAAAGAAATACGCCAGGAAACTGTTTTCTCCTTAGCTATACTTTACAACATAATCTAAAAGAAGAATAGATATTTCCAAACCTTCTCCCAACAACCAAGTCCTTCACTGAAAAGAAATACAATACAAGCTAGTCATTAATAAATCAGACAGAATCTACTGTTCAAAATAAACTTGTAGTTCACATGACTGACTTAAAATGTATAAAACACGTACAAATGACTGCATGAGATACAATACTTGCACAGTCACTGCATTTCAATAATGCTTAAGCATGAAAATTCAGTTCCCACTTCTCTTACAGGCAAGTATATAACTGCACAAGTGACTAAGACGTACAAAAATTATGTACTTTTAACTGCAATAAACTGATGTGGACTCTGCAGAGATCCAACCATAAATTCTCACTAAAAAAGCATAACTACGATAGACTTCAAGAAAGTTTTTTGGATTAACCTAAAAAGTTTGCATCAATTTTTATTCATTATGACGAGTTGTCAACTTCAATAACCTATGATAATGAATAAAGATTGCGTCAAATTTCTCAAGTTAATTCAAAAAACTGGGGACAACAAATGACACAGAACAGAGATTTTATGAATTGTTTTTAGGAAAACTTGATGAATTTGATGAATGCTGAATATTAGCCATGAACTGTCGCAATTCTTCAGCAATTAAGCGAGTATTGTAGTCTTGCTGATAGAAATTATATGGCTGATCAAATGGGTTAAAATAATTAGCACTATTACTTCCTGACATCACGGAATTAGATGGTGGTATCAATGGCATTGCTTGATTTGGATAATATGGCATTGAATGATTTGGAAGAGAAGACGGCTGACGCTGATGTTGAAAGTACTGTTGCATCAAAGGGCGAGCAGAATGCATTTGAGTGCAGTCTTCAGCTGACACGTTACTAGGCGTACTTGACGTTGATGCATTCACTGGTATGTTATTACAAAGCTGTGCCGGGACTGGAGAAATGCTAAGTGCATGGCAAGTACGAGATGGTATTTCTGATGGATCGCTGTCATCAAGATCAATACATACTACAGAAGATGATGTATTTCTTCTTCGCGATGTATCGATGTCTTGGATAGACGGTCTTTCCGTAACCTGATAAAGATGAAAAATTTATGTTCATTTTATTGAATGAATTCATATATGCTATTACCAAACTTTTTTAATTTTCGCAGTAATTTTTATATAAACACTACTGAAATAAGATTTGCAGTTCTCAAAACAGCAAAAAACATTGCTCTTTTTTGATAAAAGCAATAAAAAGCAAACAATTAATAATGTTGATCAGACTGTATTAATAGCCTACCTCATCGCTGTCATCACTATCTAGAGTAATAATATCTTCAGCTGGAACAGCTTCCCCACGATTACCACTAGATAGTCCGTGATTACCTGCATCTTTAAGACGACTTTTACTGCTATTCGGAATACTGACCTCCTCATCATCAGATACATATTGATCAACATCAACTGAACGCCATGTTCCATCACTTAACAACTCAATTTCCGTAACATTTACTGATGTGTCTTTCAAAATCTTCTTGAAATAACTGAAACACACCATTTCTGATTCATGATAAAAAGATGAAAGACAAGATTAACACAAGATAAAATACAAAACATTATGTGCAAACTAACTCAGTGCGACTTGATTTTGTATGAAAATTTATAAAGTTGTATTTATATAACACAGACCATTGTTACAATGATATGATTCAATAATATATAACATACCCATCAACAATTAATTTTTTGAATGAAGCGATATTATTACAGACAGGACACTTCCATGTAGGTCGTTTTTCATTCATTTTTAAAAAATTTAATAAATCAAAACACTGTAAATGAGAACAGTCATACGCTTTGACAGGTTCGAGCATCCGTGTTTTGCCAAGCTATAAATATTCCAAATTTTCAAAGTCAATATGTGGTTTCTAAAGCAATTGAAATAAATAATATGAAACTGCCATAATCACAAAATATGATGTGTTCTTTATTTATCAAACTAACTCAGTGCAATTTGATTTTGTATGACAATTAGAAAATGAAAAATTTCGAAAACCACTTCGAAAAAATTCAAATGATCTTTACTTTGTAAATTACCACATGGGTCCCACTAAAAAAATTATTACGATTTTAGAATGATTCACAATTTTCAAAATACTTGACATATTTGAGTTCCATTACATAAAAACTTCTTAAATGCTAATAATTTTTTTACTGCTTTCATTTTTTGTAAATATTACAAATAAAGAAGAACAATGTAAAAACATGGAGTAAAACTGACCTGTTGAAATTCAGAAAATGATTACTTAAGAACCCATTCATTATAAGGCTACTAAAACATGAAAATGAGTTTTTAGAAAAGAAATAAGATCGAAAAAGTAAATTACGGGACACAAAAGTGACATTCGCAATGACTCCATCTGAATACCATCATCGTCACATGACAAACGATCTATAATCGTACGCTTCGTTTCCTCTGCATCCCGATATGTGCTTGCATTAGCTAGGAAACGTTGACTGAAATTAGTTTTTCTTAACCAATTTATGAAAAAAATACCCACATAAATATTTCACCTCTTAATGTAAGAATAACAGATTAAAAATCTTACTACAATATATCACTAGTAAGTCGTTCCACAACATAAACACCGACGGCCCAGGCACGCCTATCTGCAGTCCATTCTACTTCTAGTCTAAATGCCTTGGAAATATCTCGCGGTGGTTGACAGTAACTTGTAATGTCAACAGGACGACTAGGCCTTTTTGCTTCTGCATTTGGCTTATTCGTTGGGATGACATTCTGTAAAAATAATGGCTCACTTTTGAAAATAGGAAGAAAATATGAAGCGAGATAAATCGATGAATATCAAGATCACTTTTGTCATATTACAAATAAGTAATTTATATTCACCGGAAGAGTAACCGGTATATCGTCTATCTTCACACCACAATTTGGTGGAAAATCATCTTCCTGCTCAGCTGAATGATCTAACAAAAAGAAACGTAACTGAAGCTCTGTGCGGGGCAGGACCAAACAATCTCTTCTAAACAGTGAAATTCACTGAACATAGTTCATGGAAAAAGAGTATAAAATTCTGAAACATTTAAAAGATAATACTTTGAAATAAATCTAAAAATATGAATATATATTTTTTGTCAGGCTAACATTCAATTAAAATCATTAAAAAATTCAACTCACCGATGGGCAATCAGTGGTATGACATTATGCGGAATAGCAAATGAGAAATACATACATGCAATTGACCGCAGACCTGATATATTAGCGGGCAATTCTGAGAGTTCAAGAAGCGTTTGCTGCTGAAGAAAATAAACGCTTCAGTTAATGCTAACAGATCAAATAATCAAATAAAAGGAGATAAAATTGGGAAAGCATAATGATGCATAATGTTTTCAAGCATAAATGATTAGTAGATCATATATTTCTCAACCATTTCCTCGTATTTACCTTCTGTATTTATTTCGCTTACTTATTGTACTAAAACTGAGGGCAAAAATGACATCTGATCCAAAAGAAACTACATTAATAAAGCATACTTTGTCGTAAAATGGTAACTCAGACACACGCAAAATCGAAGCTCGATTCATTTGAGATGAAAACGGACAGTGGACTGGATTATAATGCTGCTTCATCAGAACTGGTGGCATATTTAGTGCAGATTCATAGCTATTCACGATATTATTATTTTCTGAATGATTGTACATTGCTACTGAAGGTGCACTAGGCACGTTATAACGTCGACTAGAACTGATTTCGCGAATTTTTTGTATAACTGCAGCTTGATTACGGGAGTTATGTAGTAAATTAATGCACCTAAAGCATTTCCCATTACATACACAGTCATTTACGAACAACTAAACTAAAATTAAGATACAACACATGAAAGTCAGGCACATCTTACAATTATAAATTAATTTGTTATTATGCTACATCAACAGATGCTGACTTTGAATTATATTAAATACATAACAAGAACTAATTGAAAAACTTGACCGTTGAACAAGTTCTGTTTTTTTCCCCAACTTTGGACACTTGAACGATGACAACAAAATATGAAGCTCGTTAACTCGGAATTGTTGCAGTGCTACCTATAAAAACATGAAATTGTCTAAACATATCGAAAGATATCAATTTCCGAGACAATGCCTTGAGAAAATCAATGGTAGTGTTAATTTTAATGTTGGAAAACTACCCAAAGTCTGAGAGAGCGCTGAGCTTCTCAGTTATTGACAAAGTCAGAAACATGTCTATTCTGACCGGTGCAAAAAGTGTAAATATGAGTTTTAAGTACTTTCCACGTTTACCGATAATAAATACAAGTTTTAAGCCAATCCAGGACTTATTTTCTTTCCACGAAGTCGACATCAACTCCCACAGTTTCCTGTGATTTAGTTAATAAATCTGCAACGCTGCAGACTTGATTTCGAAAACAAAAGTTGAAGAATGATGAATATTTAGACAATAAAACGAGACTATTTCCAGAAATCAAATTTATATGCGCAGTACGACGAGGTGACTAGAAAGAATTTAACAGCCATGTTTAGAAGTAGAAAGCTTAAAAATTTAAGAGGACCTTATCTTATGAACATGGTCGAATATATATTATATATAAAAGTTCAGAGGTTAATATTTTTTTCCGTTTTCTTGATTCGCGCGCTGCATTCTCACTGTTTTATCCTGGGACCAAGCTCTGCTGGTTCCGGTCAAGTGCTTTGCCATATCCTTCACGAAGCTTTTTTCAAAAACTTTACGCTTCCAAGTTACTTTTATTTATGATTCCAGGTTCGATCTTTTTTCCTTTATCCTCTATTTCCTGCTTTGTGATACAATTCGATTAGCTGGCAGTTCAATTGTTCGGTAACTCGGTGGAGTCGAGCATTTTCTCTCTCTCTTATATATAATAACCCGCAAAATGAAGCACGATATTGTTATATGACAACACAGTGTGAGAAAAACATATCAATGACTAGACTATACAATGATCATATGGAGTATTTTTTAGGATTCTGCAAGAAGAATGATTTGAAAGCATTCCATGAGAAGCCATTCTTTTCAGATTTTCGCGAATGAGAACGTGGACATCAGAGTAGATTCGTGCACTAGAACAACTCTAAAGACGAGTGTGGATCGACCAGATATCATGATCCACGATAAAAAACGAGGTGAAGTAATCCTGACAAAGGTTAGCATTGCTAGTAATGAACTGACTACAGTCGAGATTGAAAAAAAACGAAAGCATGGTATACTCGCTAACAAACTTGAATCAGAGATGAAATGCAGAACGATAATAATTCCGCACTTGGGATGGAATTGTAACGAACTTCCATAAGCGTTACGCAATGGAGACCAAGGTATGTGATCATGCCGAGATATATATTCAAATGATAATGCTTAAGGAGACGCTCGAAAGCATCTCATTCGATTACTACCATGGATTCCATGAGCATGGAGCAATGAGCGCGGGACAAGTACAGGTAGAGGCCAGAATACGAACTAGCACCGCCAAAATCAACAAAGCAGACTGAAGATTTATTTCTGTCTTCATTAAAATATATATACATTTTTTTACTCATGGCTGAAAATGATCCTACAGCAGTACAGTATGTGGCCAGAAAACTCTCACGAAAATAGAAATAAGAAAATCTTTTAAGTCACTTCAGAGAGTACCTAGAAATATTTCTAGGCCACATTATTCTAGAGAAATGAGTCCATTATAGTTTTTCTCTCTATCAGAGCTCAGAAATTTTTATAGTGACAAAAATTAATGCACTGTTTCAGAATGACAAAAATGAAACTCCAGCTTTGCATCAACTTCGTTTTCACTTCCTCTTATCGTGTTCAAAAAATAAAGAAAACCGAGCTAAAACTTACTTCTATTCCTTCTAGTTCAGCTCTATTTGCTGCTGCCATTGTCCATCGAATGTTAATAACGGTAAGCTTCTCAAACTGGAAAGAACAGAATGCTTCCTAATAAACCAAAAAACAGCGCTCTACCTCAATCCTACTTCTATTCCTTCCAGTTCAGATCGTTTTCTTCCTGTTCACTACTCGTTTGAAATAATTATATATCTCATACGAAACCTGTTCCCCTATGAAACAGGATTAATTTTGAAATCTGCTACCATGAACTCCAAAAAGTCTATAGCTGACAATCATTTCCTCATTACCAAATTTTTAAAAAGGTAGCAACTGCACACTTAGTTAGATCAGACTAAACTCCTGATGCAGTTCTGCAACTTGAACTAAGGATGTTGCAATTTGTAAACAGATTAATGACATTCATGTGCGCATGCATTCTTGATAACGAAAAGTGACCGATGCAAACATTCAGTCTTCGTCTTCTGCAGTTAAGGTCAATCATAAAAACTATCTCAGTAAACAAATCCAAAATCTGGTTATGGCATGGAAAATTTTGACGGAAGAAATGAAAGATGAAACAGAAAACAACAAAAAGACAGACTTTAGCCCGAACTATAACAATGATAAATTCAAATATGATACAAACAAAAATGTCCATATCGTAATGCCATTCTTTCTTTGCTCGATTCTAAAATATTTGTTTGAAATTTAGAATCCTTTCTCATCAGCAATGGAAATCTTTGAATAAGGAATTATATGCAAAATAACGACACTGTATAGAACGAAATATACATATGAACATTATAAAGAACTCCCACACAGCCCCCTGACACCCCAAAAAAAATTGAAATAAAACAAACGAAAACACAAAAATAAGCTTATCTGTTAGTAAATAATATAAAAAGGAAAAATCTCAGCTGAGAAAACGATATGCATCACGGTACATTTACTACCGCAACGCCCTATAATCTCAGCTTTCACAAGTGCTTCAAAAACACGCTACTTTTTATTCAGTAATCGCGGACGTTGAATCAGGTATATCACCTTTATTCATATAGTGACACTTGAAAAAGTATTTTATTCATTTACATTTATGGTACACTGAAAGAACAATGAAAAAATATTGTGAATAAAGCACTGTACATCCTAGAATCTTTACGGTCAAAAATTCAAGTTAAAATTCTAAAATATATAAGGACATAACTAAATATTTATTATTTTTAGCCATAAATTTTGGACAATTTCCAACAACATGTAATATGGGATGGAGATTTTCTAGAAAAATCTACCATAGTATATTAAGATTTTGAATTTTCACTGACAAACAATTACTACTACACTGGTTACCACTAAAACAGTTACTGAGTTATACACAGAATCCATATGCAAATGTATTGATTCGATCTGCTTTTCAAAGGTCAAACTTTTGAAACTTTCTATCAAAAGTAAAAGATGCAGCACAACGGTGCAAACCAAATCTACCTTCTATGCCACATAAGAGCTTCCCGTTTTCGTTTGATTTTCTTTTGCAGCTGCAAAACACCGTAAAGCAACGCCTCTGCTGATGGTGGGCAACCAGGAACATATATATCTACAGGAATAATCCGATCTACACCTTTCAGTACTGAATATGAATAATGATAATAGCCACCACCATTAGCACATGAACCCATACTTATCACCCATTTTGGTTCTGGCATTTGGTCGTATACTCGTCGGACTGCAGGTGCCATTTTATTTGTTACTGTGCCAGCAACAATCATGACATCTACCTCAAAAAACTGGCTATTTACTTTCTGTTTTAAAAATTTTTGAAAAACCGAAAGGAAAAATCTTATACACAACATCATGTTTGTTACAAAAATCATCACAATGTCAGTGAACTTATAACTGACATTGACTTCGGAACCTATGAAGAATAAACAAAAGTGTCAAATTATAAGCTCTAACTTAAAAAACTGACAAGTGACAGTAGCATTCAACAATTTTAGTTACTAATAAAAACTTTGCGGAAAGACTTGAAATTTTGTGAAAAGTGTAGAATATCAAAAAAACCTGTCTGGGAGAAGCACGAAAGACGACGCCAAAGCGATCCATGTCATAGCGTGGTGCTGCAAAGTGCATCATTTCAATAGCACAACAAGCTAATCCAAAAGTCATTGGCCAAAGAGAACAACGATGGATTAAATTATTTAAATCATCTAGACGCGTTACGGCCATTTCACCTTTTGGTAAAGGGTCTTGCCATGGTGAACCAAATATTCCCCAAACACCCTGAAAAATATTTGATGAGCGCGCAGCACAATTTAGAAAAGAATTAACTTCACTGATTAATTCAAAAATAACTTTCGGTCTCGATCCTTTTTCAGCAGGTGCCATCGGGCTTGTTGGTCCGGTAACTTTATTTGATTCTGCTCGTACTTGTCGTAGTAATGATACAGTTAATCGACGCAAGTTTGAGAGCATTTTAACTAATGGAACCTGTAACAAATAGTAAAGAGCGATGATGTCCGCAGATTGTCGCATGTATCAATGTCGATATTACGTTCAATCAATATCCACACCACAAAGGTATCAAACCACTAAATTATATTTTATCTGCTGATCAATCCACTTCTCTTTTCTACTCTTCTTCTCCAATTGAATGCAAGTAGCAGATGCAATACACCCGTACAAACATTTACTTGTAATGCACGAGTTCCTTACGCTATTATCATCCCTTACTCTACAATCTAATTGCCAGAAAACACGACGAAAAAAGCCACAATAATTCAACACGTCATACTTTTCATATTAAATTACGTTACTGTTTGTCATATTAGATTACGTTCCTGTTAAACAGTACTTCTTTTCTTTCAATAATTTCAAATTCCTGTACAATTTATTTTTGTCTGCGTGAAAACGAACTTCCACTTTATCTGCAGACAAAATTATAGATAGCAGCAGCCATAATAAAACGAATAAAACTGCCAAACAAACCCAAAATAAATGGTAAATAGTTCTGACGTAACTTATGCAAAGTATGTCACCAATGCTTACCTCACGTAACTTAGGTACGTCATAGAGCAATGAAACTGTGTAGCAGAGTATTCATATACGTTTGCTACAAACCGTGAAATACTCTCCAAGTCTTTTTGTTCAAATTGACTTGAAATAATGCGCTCTTAGAGTTATTAAAATGTCATTGGGTACGCATGAATGGACCATTGAGTCTCATTCTAGAGAAAGGTTATGTCTTCGTTATTATATTAATATGAATAATCGTAAAGAAGTATTTGGGCGTTGTTTATTAATATAAACGTTTAAGTTAAAATTCTGGAATGAATCCGAAGCAAAATGGACATAGCCGCAGAAGGAAGAGAAAACTTCCCTACTCGAAGCAAAAAAAAGAAAGCGCAGTAAGTTAGCAATTTCTTTACTTACTGTTTTCGTAATTAAAATTATTTTTAGCGGTTGTAAAGGTTAGCTTATGCACTTCAGAAAATATCATTTGGTGTAATGACTTGGGAAAAATTTTTGCTTTATCCAAAAAAAATTGCTGCTGTCTTTAATTTGGGGAAAAAAGTCAAAAATATAGTTCAAGTTTGTGGAATTTGCAGGACATCAGTTTGTTGAAACATGAAGAAAAAGCGTTAAAACAGAAATTGAACGAAGAATCGGAGCGGAAGCTCTCGAAACAACCTCATTCTATGGTTATTCATCGAGGGAATGTTGGTCAATTTGTACGTTATCTTGAGCAGGATATCCGTGCTATTATGGAACCTTTCACTGCATCAAAACTAAAAGTAATTTTTACTTCTATTTAGTGCGAAAATTGTTTATTTTACTACTGATGATGTGTTTGTGCAATAAGTGAATTCTTTGTATTTTAGTTCAAAAATGATAGTAATTGAAGATTTTATGAAGCATGAAGTTAAATAATACTGCTACAGTATTGTGTAAATTGAAATTGTTTTAATGTTTTCTCTATTCTAGGTGATGAAAAGGAACAATTTGAAAGATTTTATCGTGAACGGTGCAGTGCTTGGTGTTACACATTTGCTTGTCTTAACTCGCGGACAAAGTTGGGTGACATTGCGGATTATTCGTTCTCCTCAGGGACCCACATTAACTTTTAGAGGTACAAGCAGTGCTTTTCCTCAGTAAAGTTGTTTGATGACAGTGGATAAAAATTTTCTCTTATGTTATTAAGATTATTTTATTGACCCATTTTAGAAATATTTTATTATTGTATAGAAACATTACACTTTAATATTTCTTAGTCTGACAAGTTTTATATTTTGAATATGTCAGAATCAGTGATTGTAAAATTTGATAGTATAACAATTTTGCTCTTTAGTAAGGTTTAAATACTAATTTATTTACCAATCAGTTGTGGAAATATGATGTTGAAAATGAGTAATTACAAATTGGGGCACTACTATAACAAATAATGTGTAACTATTGATTAATTTTACAGTTTTCAAAATTTCACTGTGGATTATTTTTAGTTAAAGAATACACATTAGCAAGGCATATTTTGTCAGCATCAAAACGCAAGATGCATTTTCAACGATTGTTCACTACTGCTCCATTAGTCGTCATGAGCGGTTTCACTTCAGACGATGATCGACATTTACAGCTTGCGCAGTCTTTATTCCAAAACATGTTTCCGACAGTAAATGTCGACACGGTCATTTTCTTCATATATTGGATGTTAATTGTATTCAATTTGTATATCTCAATAAACACGTACGATATTAATTTTTATTCCAGTTATTACTATATTTTTGATGACTGGAATAGAAATTAATATTCCTAGATAACTGGAATATCAATTTCTATTCCAGTTATTGTACCTGAAATAAGAAAATGTATTTCTGAAAGAAAAATATTGTATAAGCGAAAATACTTTTTTGAAGAATACTATTTCCTTTCATTTTAGGTTGATCTATCAACTATTAGACGTTGTGTAATGATTAATTACAGTGCTGTTGAAGACGCTATTTATTTGAGGCATTAGTAAGCATACGATTATTATCATTAGTTTTATATATTTATTTGGTTACTCACCTATAAATATCATCTCATTTTTAAGCATTAACTTGATTTTCCAGTGCAATCAAGGCAGTACCTGCAGGGTTGAGTAAGTCGGTAAAAAAACTAATTCAGAGTAAAGTCCCAGATTTGTCGAAATACAAGAATATCGAAGACTACTTTTTAAAGTATGTTTGCTTAGTAATTTGTAGTTTTTGTTAAATGTGTTTATTTTCATTGAATTTCATCAGAAATTCCAAACTATGAAGTTGAAGATTCAGCAAAAATAGTTAAATTAAGCATTTTTCAGTCCAGGACAACTCAGCGAGAGTGAGTATGAATTTGAACAAAAGGAAGTGAAATTACCACAAGACTTGAGTACACGGGGATGCTCAAAAGGACAGAAAACAAGCATAAGGTAACTCTTTTCTCAAAAATTTTGATCTGCATATTGGAATGTATATCAGTATTTCAGTCTAATTTTTGTTATATTGTTGTCATGCTTGAACATATTCTATGCTAGTTAAAGATTATTTTTCATTGTAGCCTTTTGAAATTTATTTTAACGCTGTTGTGCTCTAAAGAATATCATTATTTTTGTTCGTATAATGTGTAATGCTTTATTGTATGCAATAAAGTAGAGTAAATACCTTCAAGTCTTTTTGTTTTAGATTATATGAGCTCGGTCCCCGACTTACTTTACAGTTAACGAAAATCGAGGAAGGAATTGATGAAGGCGAAGTTCTTTATCATTCTTATATTACTAAATCTAAAGAAGAATTATTGCAGCTCAGAAATGATTTACCCGTAAGAAGGTAAAAAAATATTTTGTTTTTATTCTTTTTTGAAGAAATATTTAACTCTCATTTGAGTTTTAAAGATAAAAGTAACCAAAATTTATCAGTTATTCATTAAACAAATACTGATCATGCATTTTTTTTTCAGAAAATTGAAGAAAAGGATGCAGATAAAGAACGAACTTAGAGTTATCCATCGCTTGAAAAGTTTCAGTGAACAAAAAGCTAAACTCGAAGAATCACTGAAAGAAGAAAAGGAAAGACTAATAGAGAAACAGAAAGAAGTTACCGGTGAGAAGTAGCAATTCAGTTGATATCAGTGATGGTTTGCCTTGCTTCCTTCATTTTCTTTGAGCAAAACTAGTGTTTTCATGCTTAAAATAATTTTCTCTTGTACCTTTTTTTTTCTTTACTATAAAAATAATCCGAATTTAGTAAAGATTGTTTTGTCAATAAAATTGGATTTGTTTGAACATGTTCCATGCTATTATATGAGTCTTTACATCGTTTCCTGTGTTTATATTTATATTTTTTTGTTTTGTACTCATTCTTAATGCTGTTTTTTGTTGAAGCGAAATGAAAAACCAGAAATTCCGCATGTTATGTTTCTTATGAAGAGGTATATTCTGCTCATATATGGGAAAATTAAGATACAGCTTTAGACCAGAATAAATATTTAATTAGCTTTGCAATGTACATTTTTTTAAGAGCATTGTGGAGTCATATATGAAAATATGTTTTCTGTCAAAAGGATGTATTATTTAGCATTCGCATTAATGGTCTGGTGATATTATATAATAATTGGAAGGAATATGCGGGACAAATCACTGCAGCAAAAAATTTGATATCTCCTATACACGAGTATCTTCACAATTTTGCGTTTTAATCTTTCTACGTATTCTATTGGGATGTGTTCGTTTTTGTTCTTTTTTTCGAACAAAATTGTTATTTTGCAGATAGTGTCTAGAATATTTAGTAATAAATTGTCCATTATATATATGGAGAAAGCTACACTATGGAGGAGCTGCATATGAAATAAATTCTTAATGTTTTGAGGAATATTACTGATGCAGTTAACAAAGCAGTATTTTTGTAACAGTTTTTAAGCATTTTTACTTATTCAAAAACTTTGCAAGTTTATTTTTATCAGGGATGCATTAAAAACTATAAGGCTTTGGTGTTAACTGTTGTATTTTTTCTTACTGTGTAAAGTAAAAGACTTTATCCTTTACAAAGTCTTCCATCATACCAATAATTTGATAGTTGCTGGGGTAAATAATGAATATTTTTCAAATGCAAATGCATTTATACTGCAGTAATTCATTTGTTTGAGTTTATGGATTGTTCGAAAGTTTTGCGCCGCGGCTAAGATCTTATAAATCTAATGTGTTTTGCTATAGGAATGTAAGAATTAGAATATTACAAATTCTACGAATTCTTTATTAATTTTAACACAACAATGATTACAAAGGCAAAGTTAACCAATACTTTTAGCCAAGAGAAGGCTGCATTGTAAATGTGCGATAGTAGTATAATGTGACAGATTAATATGCAACTTTTTGCTATTCAAAATTTTGCTCTTTCAACTTTTTGGTCTGAAAAAATAAAATGAACGCTTTGGTTTGTATGCTCGTGAAATAAAATAATTACAAATTTGATTTAGATAACTTAAAAAGTTAGAAAAATAATGAAAGATGAAAACTGTTTTTACAAAGAGTTACAACTTTTATTACGATGAGAAACAAATTATTGAAAGTAAAAACAACAGATAATTATGAATTAGCAGCCATTAACCTGGCTTTAGCACATTCAGGGCAGAGGATATCAGCTCCATCTGTGATAAAGCCCTTGCCAACTAGGGATGTGGAACACTGCGCACAAATAAAACAATCGTTATGCCAGTGTCGATCTTCGAATGATATGAACTTTGCACCTCCAATTCCTGAACTTCTGCTCTTTATGGCATACAGTACTAGACCTCTGTTACTTGATAATATTCATATTGCAAAAGGCTTTTTCTTCTAATTAATTAATTTTAACCGAAATATATCAGTATTACAAAGTTCGCTTTTTATTGCACAGTATGGCATACAGTAATTTGTGCCATCAGATATTTTCTGAGCTACTGTATTTCATATTTCAACCTGTCCGTCTTGATAACTTGTGCATAAGAATTTCAGTTTTAAAAATTAATCGAAAAAATTAATCATAAAAATGAATAATTTTAATAATTATATTACTGCCATTACTGAAAACGGTATTTTAGTTTTGCTTTAACGTTAATAAAGATAAATAAATTATTCTGGTTGCATCATTTTTAAATAAGTGGTAATTGATGCATGCTTGTTTTTACAAAGCTGAAAGTTAGTAATAAAAGTGCTTGTCAGAAAATACGCAATAAATAAAAAGAAACGTTGGAACTGATTGAGTTGAAAATATGTAAAATACTTCCAGCAGAAGTTACATATAGCAGTGAAAAACGTGTAAATGAAAATTACCTGTAATTGGCTTCACGCAGGCGTTGCATCGTTTCGCGAATAATTCACCATAACAATTTGCGCAGTATGGCTTCTCATCCTTGGAGGTGAATCTTTGACCCGCTAATGATGTATTACAGTTTGTACAGCAGAAACATTCTCGATGCCAAGGTTCATTTTTATAAGTTACACCACCAGTACTGATTACCTGAATAAACCGTATCGTCGAGGTTTAACATTAGCAAACAATAAATAAATAAGTGAAATATCTCTAATCCAATTAAGAATTAAAAGTAATATTTACTTATTTATCAATATTATTTCTTGAAAAAAAATTGCTTTTGTACATATTTCCCTGTACAAAACGTTACAAATTAAACGATTAAAAAGAATTCATTGAGATCTAGCTGATATTTTTTTGGCAAACAAAAGAAAGTAAAGATAATGAGATTAGTACTGTAATCTGTAAGTCTACAAAGGGAATGTTAATACTTTTGTAAGCAAAAATTAAAATTTCTGATACTAAATCAGAAGGAAACAAAAAATTTGAGTGAAGCAACAATTAATTTACCTTTTTACACTTGCAACACCTCGTAGCGAATTTCTCCTCATAGCACGACGCGCAGTAGACTTCTTCATTTTTTGGTATGAAACTTTTAGTACCAATTGGTATTTTGCATAGTGCGCAACAAAAACATTTATCGTGCCACTGTTTTCCTTTGTATTCCATTTTTTTCATACCTGTCAGTGATTACTGCTAAATATCCATTACAGTAAAGCAGTATGTGCATATTCTAATTAATACACTTTAATATTTCATATATATTTAATACACTTTAATACTTCTAATTTAATATACTTTAATAATTAAATATTTTATTTTCCAAGTTATTATTTATTAAAAATTCAACAAAATTGTCTTTATAAATATATAGCAAAAGTAAAGTGCTTAATTATAAGTTTATTTTAAGTTAGAATCAATCACTTTCGATTAATAAAATTATATAATTAATTACTATTTGTCTTTTTTGAATGACAAATTTTTAAAAAAAATTGCACAATTTTTGATTTAAAAATGCAAAAATATACCAAAAATATTGTCGCATTTTGAGTTTGAAAGCTTTACCTGCACGAAATATTTCTCCACAGCCATCGCAACGAGTTGCGAATGCTTGATCATAGCAATTCGAACAAAATATCCGATCATTTTTACTTCCAAATGGCTTATCAACCAACGATATCTTACACATATTACACAGAAAGCAGTCCTCGTGCCAATGCTTGTCCTTATATGATAAATCCTACAATTATTGCTGTGAGTAATTAACAACTTATCATTTATTTTTTGTAAAAATTAATTATACAAATACTAAATTATTATTACTTTTTATTTTATTAATCATAATTTTGAATAATATTTATCATGATGTTTAACAGAAATTAAATTTCAAGACCATTCATCGATTAATTAATTGAACACTTTTTTTTACTTTAGAATCAATGCCAATTGCTTTTGCACATTCGTCACAAGTATTTGCGAATACGTCTTCGTAGCATTTTATACAATACGGATGGTCATCTCGAAGAATGTATCGTTGACCAGTAAGAGTATGGTCACATTGCCAACAGCAAAAATGGTCACTATGCCAGTCTTTGTTCATTGCTTTTGTGTATTCACCCGCAAATATTAACTGGAATATGATATATTTTAGCCTAAATTGCATAAAATAGTTTTATCAAAAAATAATAAATAATAATTGAAAGACTAGTAGCAAAAATTATCAATTATTTTAAAATAAATTACCAAGTATTTAAATTAAAATTAATACTATATTGCTCAATTGTATTTACAAATGTCAAAAATTAAAAACTGTTACTTATTTGCATTTGATGAAATAAGCTTAAATTAGCATTGAAAATATGAAATCGCACTGAAAGAATTTAGAAAAAAAAAGAATCAAGAAGTTAAATAATTGCAAATTAAATAAAAATTCGCAGTAATCATTATTTGATACTATAATGCCATCAATTTAATGCAAATTTTGTTTATTTCAATTTGCGCTTCAAATTCATAAAAGCATTCAATTTAGTACTTTCAATGAAATAATAATACCAAATAAATGAATTCAAATTTTTGTATTTCAAATTTTCTTAAATCAAAAATGAAATTGCATCGAATGAAAGCAATCAAATGAGCTGAAAATGATAAATGGATGATTATTATCTGTTAAAATTAATCAT